TTTTTTTTATTTATTAATATGTACATGTATACTTACTACTGTAATAGGTATTATATAATTAAATATATAAAATATTTGTTGTAGTTAAAATCTAGTTACAATTATTTAGAAATGTAGAACTTTAACAAAGTTTTATAAATAATTAATTAATACGTGTGTTTTCATGAGCCAATTGTTTATAATTTCTTTATATACTTAATATTACATGTATTATAGGCTGAGGTAAATATTAATATAATATATAAATAATTTACCGAACTGTAAGACAGTTATAGAAGCTAATTTGTAGACAATAATAAGTATTGTTTAAATGGAATTTAATAAATTTTATACAGATCGAGTTATATACACTTCCCTATATTATTGTATTCAGAACAATAATAATGGTTATACTATTTGTATAAATGATACATAAATAAAGTATATACTCGTAGATAGTCATTATAAAATGTCTTGCGTGAGAAAACCGGATAAGATCAATATTTCATCAACAGTTACCAACTCATTATGGATAGGAATTTATACTAAAATTGGGGACATGCCAACACCACAAATAGAAATTCAACTGTAGGTCCGTATGACGTAACCGTAATAAATTATGTGGCAGGTAGATATAGATACCTACATGAGTGGAAAGTTTTAATTAGGACACTTCAGGTCACTGTAGAAATAAATACATTAGATGGCTCTATTTCTGGTTATAATAAAGGTACGCTACTCATTTATTGTCAGGCGAGCCGTATATTCGTTTGTAACGATCACAGTGCAAAAAAATTAAAATAATAGATTTAACAAAATGATTTTAATGGAATTTACGATATAAATTTGATAAAAAAATATAAATATGCAATCATAAGTATTACGTAGTACCTACCTGTGCTTTCTGTCTACTTTATGCAGTAATTTATTATAAAAACACATTATCTCTTGTTAAAAATAAAAGTTATAGATTAATAATATCAACAATGTAATGAGTTAATCTGTGTTGATTAGTATGGATGAAATAGGTAGATATAGATATAGGTAGACTAGTATAAATTTTGAGTTACAATGGTAAAAGGTAAAATATAAAATATGGTTTTGGTACGTAAAGCAACAATTTTTAAACGACATCTTCTGTTATGGTACCTATATGACTTACTAACATGGTTTATTATTAGCTTCAGTTTAATAATTTTTACATATTTTTTTCGAATTAAAAAAATAAACAGGTATTAGAATCTTTAGGCACAGGCCACCAGTGTGCGTCGCGTTTTATAGCGGCGCGCCGCTCAGTAACCACGCGGTCCCTTCTTTTTATTGCGGTTCTGTTTACAACATATTTTATAGGATCAGCTGTTTGAGTGCGTCACTACAGCTGTTAGAAGACGAATTTTATAAGATTTCCCATTTTACAATCAATTACTTTAAATGTTCTCTAGAATAATTAAACCGTTTTCCCATCCTCTTACAATTTCTATCAAGTAGGTAGCTACTGGGGGATTTACTCACTTAATATTATGATTATGTATTTTTACTTGTAAAATCTAAATATATGGGTAAGGAGAAGGGATTGTTGGGAACGGGGACTACCGGCCTCATTGCTGGCCATAAACCTTAGATCGACGTAGTTCACTTTGGAAACTATCGTAGTTAATTCGGTGTCTAACACAGTTGATTTTATTCCCGTCTATCACCACCCACTTGTATCCATTGGTGGGGTCGTTATTTCATTTTCGTCCCAAAAAAATAATGTAGATATATATGTACTTCAAAAAAATATATATATCTTTGCAAATTTGTAAAGACCAAAACCGGTATTTAGTTTTTATTCAGTAACTGTTAGCGAGTAGTTGTGTAATTACAGTCTTTATTGCGATCTCGATGAATATGGAACGTGCCCTATTGAAATAGGTCATAAATATACTTTACCGCATTTATGTGGCTTTTAATTGAATTTTTAATACCGCATTAATTTAGTCTCGCGTGTTTGACGTTTATTTATTTTTTTATTCTAAGTTAGCGTTATAGTTTTACAAATTATTATGGGGACATTTATAAATAAAAATAACATAATGTATTGTAATGTCAAAGAATTAAATATAATGTAAATTTGAAGACACAGAATTGCAGAAAATAAAGGAAATATTTAGCAATGATTTATTGTTTTTCTATTATCATCATCAATATCATGGTGTCAGCCGTTAGACTGCCAAATCAAATGCATTGTGGAAGTTAGTAGATGCAGATGGCTCAGGGCTATTCCTTTTCTATATTTAAACATTATTTGACTTTTTTATATTGGTCTATTAATTACTTCTTATAGTATATTTAATTATAATGAGGCATAATTAATAATAATAATAATAATATTTTTTTATTTGGAACAAAAACATTGGTTACAATATTATTGAAAAACGATGATATCCGCGGAAGTATAAAACTGTGTCGCGAATATTAACATTATAAAATTATAGATATTTACATAACATATTTTAAAAAAATTAAACAATACGACAGCCATTCTATACGATTTACTAACATATATAAATTATATACAGGCAACAATTATAAAGCTAATATATTTTCCTTAACCTATTTATTTACGTTGATTTGTATTGGTTATATTTCTGCGATATTTTTAAAATGCAATCTCAGTTTTTGTTATGAAACATTATTTTTTTTATATTTTTATTTTAAAGAGATATCATATTTTTCCTTACACCTATGTTCAGAAGTAGACAGTTAATGGTTGATATAATGATGATTACGTCATTATATTTTCACTCTCTAGGATAAACAAAATCGAGACGCTAGTTTATTACAAACCAATATCTTATTACAACCAATTTTTTTTTGTATTACTGTAGAATATAGAATTAAACGACTTTTTAATACGTAAATGCTCTGCTTTGCACCTTATTGTAATAAATAGTGAACAATAATGCTGCAGGATTCGTTTAAAATATTTATTTTTAAAGGTGCACCTCTAATAAAATAACAGGTAATATGAACTTTTTATTTTACTATTGAAAGCTTTATTGTTTTATATCCAAAAAAGTCGTTGCACAAAGTTTTACTGACTTGTATAATTGTAAAGTGGACACCTTTACAACATTTTATTTGTCAATAACATAATAGATTTTGTAGAACACGTATTTTGTGAGAGTTTAAACATTTAAAAAGTTGTCTTTATGTTTTGCTTTAGATTTAACGTCAGTTTGAAGTCATAAATATAGTTTTATTTTTAGTTGTATCAATAGTAAATTATTAAAATTTATTCATCATTAGTCAATTGGATTATGTTTTGTTATAATTTATATCCACTCTAAAATTGTATGCAAATTACATTTTTTATATACCACTGAGGTGGCAAACAAGCATACGGCCCATCTGATGGTAAGCGGTTATCGTAGCCTATGAACGTCTCCAATACCAGAGGTATTACGCGCGCGGGTCGACACCCTGAATAAACCTCTTTACCCCCCCCCCCCCCCTTTGAATATAACTTTAGTTTATTTAAAATTATTTTATTTATACTTTATTGTACACAAAAAATTACACACATATAATTTACTCGTATATTAAATAAAGATGTACAAAAGGGAGCTTAACTCCGCACGAGTTCTCTTCCAGCAAACCTTGAATCATTCATATTAATAGAATTATTTATAGTAAGTGTACAATTAAATTATATATAAGTATGGTACCTACGTATACGTATATAGACGCCTCTAAATTATTTGTTTAAAAAAAATATAGGTAAATGAACTTTTGATTGATTGGTTTACGACTTTTTTGGCTATTCATTTGTGAAGGTGGTGTACCAATGAGAGATGATTAGTAAAGATGCAGTTAGTCAGTTTTTTTTTTTAATGAGCAAGTATGAAATAGTACCCTACCTGCGCTATCGACATACGTTGGTGTGGGGCAACAGTGGGGGATGATAGATGTGGATGAAACAGTCCGTTGGCCAATTGTGAATAAGTCATCAGTTAACCATTGCTATTTCCAAGGAGACTACACGGAGGTAGATTTGATAGACATTCATACACACCAAAATGACAAAATAGTATTTAGGTAATCAAAACTCGTATCATACACGGCCCCCATCATACTTCTTTTGTTTAACTCCAACGTTTTGTCTTTTTTATATTAAAGAAATATTATAGCTTGTAATCTAAACAAACGTACATTTGTAACTACTTTGAAAATAAATTGATAATACATATGAATGTAGACAGAGTGACTAGACAGGATAATATTTAGACCCTCTTAAATGCTTTAAGAGAAAGATAAATTAATAGCAGCTAAAATAGAGATACAAATACCATTTAAGATTAAAAATAATAAATGCGATATAAAAATATTATTTACATTCATATTGCAGTTGGTTTCTTAAAAGAAGATATTATTTATTCGTGGCCTATCTGCTTGATTTTAACTCTATAATTTAATTTCGTAATAAACGTTTAGATCCGGCACTTTCTCGAGGTAACCGGGCAACATTATTATGTATTAGTTAATTATTAGATAAAGCGGAGGTGATCATTCAAAATCCATTAATTTCTAAGTGTTCATGTACTTTTTGAATTAAGATTTATCACATAAAACTGTGCCAAGTAATTTGTACAAAGTTATTGCTTCATACGTTATGCGTATTATTGCAGTGCGTATGCGCAGAGATTATATTAATTGTGACCCATTTAACAGTATTACCTGTTTTTGCTAAATTTCTTTTATCATAATATTTGAAAAGTTCTAATATAGAGGTACAGGATATTATGGATCAATAATTTGGGCTCGGAATTTAGATGACTTGCATAAACAAAAAAACAGTAGTTTGAATGCAGTTTTGGTTATGCAGATTGTCTTGATTTAGAATCGAAATAGGTATCTAACTAAATATTTATGACGCGTGATTTAAGTGTTACCGTGTACATAACATTACTAATTTATCAGGTATGTATGAATGATATTATCTATAACGCTATGTCTACACGAGACGGTAATTGGATTACATTTAAATTCCATACGTCAGCTCACGTGGCCGTGGAGTTGCGTTTGCGCAGAATTATTGAAACCGCGACAGTCTCCGCACATCATAAATCGCTGGCTGCGTCGCCCCATTGTTCCTGCAGATGTCAAAGATCAGTAATTTGCCATTGTGAGACCAGGGGCGGGCTTGACTGTGCCGCACTGATACATTGCAACTCTTTAAGATATATCGCTCCGGTAGATGTTCCGTGGACAAAAACGTGATTTATTACGACTGCTTCGGATGTTTTCCTTGAAAAAAAAAAGCGCAATATTAGTAAGCATCGTTAGTATAGTAGCTAAAAACAACTAAATGTTAGTAATATATGTTACTAATAATTTATTAATATGATCACTTTGAATATTTCATCATATACTATTTGGTGGGCATGTATAATAAAATCTTTTCACAGTAGTCAGCTGCGAACAGATTTATGATACTTGTATATACTGGTTTACATGTATCACCAGACAATAACTTAGGTCGATGATATACGTAAACCAATACATATTTATAGAACAATGTAAATATAAAATAACTACGCACAAACATTGTAAATAAACAATGATTAAGCCGGTTTTATTGTTTACGTGTTATATTCAATTAGATTAAATAATTTCTTCTGTTTTTATTACTTAGGTGTGCTCCATTTTATGATGTAAAACATGAATATACATATTTTTTTTTATATTATTTTATGGACTTGTGTACCTTTTATGGCAAAAATAGTAATTAACAAGTGTAGATACAGTAATTACTAGATACGTGAAATTTGTCGTGTGAGACAGAAAATTAAAAATTAACTACCACGTTAAACTAGGTATATACAGTTAAGTCAACATTATATGCTTACACAGTAACCTAATATAAGTCACTCTAAAACACTGTGTTATCATAAGATTGTAAACCCCTTAAGGAAACTAAAAATTGTTTTTAATTTTATCAGATTTTAGCAAAAATTTTAACAAATTTAAATTACAGATACTTCAACAAAAATATAATTTTACGATTGATATTTTAGTTCATTATAAAAACCAATAATAATAACACTTTTTTATTATTTATAAAAATGGAACAATAGTCTAAATACATTTTTCTAAAGTTGAAAAATAAGTGACATTTGTCAAATTAACCAATATATATAAATATATATTGATATGTATGTAATTTATTTTTTTTATCCCTCAAAATAATCTATTGTACCTAATAAAATATTTACATGTCATGTATTTGGTTCTTTTATTGTTATTATATGTATTAAATATTAAATTATTTACTTCATTTACATAAGTATAAATTGGGCATTTTGCCTACTGTTTAAAATAATGTAGTAAGTCACAGGTTTTTACATGTTTTATCTAAAATGTCAACAAAAATATCAATATTGGACTATCAGATATTGATATATTATTTATTTATTTGTTTTTTAATGGCTACATTAGAAAAAATGTTTACTACATACTGACGAACTTAATGCTATATAGCATTCTATCCGAGTCAATCTTTGCAAGAACAGAAATGTAAATTATGCGGTGAAAATATTATAAAATTGGCATCAGTAAATAGTTACAAACATATCTATACTGATTCTATTGTTGACTATATTTTTCTAATAAATATATATTTTTTCTTCCTCATGTTCTACAATTTCTTCTAAAGAATAATTTAGATAGACGAGTTTACCCATCGATTGTAAGTAAAGTGGTCCCGTTAACTTGTAACCTGAGGCGTCTATAGTCAGTTATTTAGTAAATATCGACAATACCTCGACACGGGTGGATTCTCTATTACCGGAATATTTTTATTAGACGAAATTATGAAAATATCAATCATAATGGTTTTAGAGAACAGCCACTTAAAAGTATGATAAAATTAATGTGGAAGCAAAAAGAATCATCAACAATGTATATTTAGCTTCAGAACATTTTAAAACCATGATTAATGAATGGATTAATTGAAGTTTTACATTGGCGAAAATGTCAAAATTAATACAAAACGCCAACGAATTCAGAACTTGATGTTTTTTGAATTCGGTTTTTTTTTGATGGGTGAAAATGGTATGGTAACCCCGCCTGCGCTAACGGGATACGCTGGCGGAGCACCAGGGAAAGGTGATAGATGAGAATGTAAACAGGCAGTTAGCCCATCATGATAAATTCATCAGGAATTAACGATGATAGAGGGAGAACCGCGAGGAGGTCGACCTGGTTGGGTATATTGCTAGCAATGGGATTCTCAGTCTCCATTACTAACAATCCCTTTACGCCCTTTTGAATTCGGTTAAAGCTTAAAGATTAAACGAAGGTTATACTTTTACATACTCTGAAGCTTACATTATTGGCACTGATGTGGTATGGTATGCAGAATAATTATTAAAAATAATCCTTACTAACATTATTAATATAGAAGTGAGTTTGTTTGTTACCTCTTCATGCCTTAACGGCTCAACTAATCGTCACGAAATTAGATATGACACGTATTATTTGGGATAAAGTAGGATATAAGCTACTATCAATCCAATCAATGAATATTCCTGTTACGCAGATAAAGTCGCGGGTAAAAAATAGTAAAATTTATATTGATATTGTATACATAAAGCATCATTTTATGTGTAAATAATTATAAGGAACAGTATATTGTAGGGCTATGTCTCAATAAATAGAGTAACATTTATAAAACGAATTCAGGTAGTTTAGGACCGTTCTTAATAGTTGTGAACGAGGGAGACCTACGTTCAGAAGTTTACAGTGATTAGTTGAAAAGATATCAACTCCCATAATGATGTAGGTAACCCTCAAAGAAATTCCATATAAGTAAATAATGATTATTATTTCTATGAATAAAAAACAAGAACCACTATGCTTCTTTATAACATATATAAATCTTAACGAACAATAGTCAAAAGAAACAGGAAATGTAATTAATGCTAGAATGCTACGTTGCATATTTATAAATATAGTGAGCAAGCCAGCAACAAAGACTCCACTGTATTCTGCCTTAGATCGTAAATCAAGCTCGTCTTAAACTTAATATTTAGTAAATAAGAAATCCAGTAACTACGGGACTTAACTTCCATAGCAATTACTTGTATATTAAATTTTAAAAGTTATAATTACGTATTGGGTAAGAGAGAACTGTAATTTACCGTTGACGCCCTACCTGATGGAAAGTGTTAATTCTTATCTAACTTGGGCAACTCCATGGACTTTACAGAATAGATGGCGTTGATTAGAGTACACCTTGTCATGGAATGGATTGTTTTTATGTAATGAAAAAATTGTAACCCCCTCCTTAGTTATTTGTTCATTGATAGCATACGAGTAAGAGAAGAGTAAGTTAAATGATGATGAAATCAGAGACGAATTCAGTATGAATATATATATATATATATATATATATATATATATATATATATATATATATATATATATATATATATATATATATATATATATATATATATATATATATATATTTTAATTAAAATTATATTCTTAATTAATTATATATTTTTTTTATTTTTTTCGGTAATTTTTTTTTTATTAACTAATACTAACACCAGTTTTATAGAAAGGGTTACGTTAATTATTATACTGTATAGTATTTGTGTTATAGATGCTACTGAATTACATATTTATTAATACTTTAGTATTTAATAATATTTTCTATAATTATATTGAACACCTGTATTTCTATATAAGAACATGAGGGGCGTATAGAGGAAGTGAATATGGTAGATCAAATGTATTGCATTAGTACTTTAATTAGGTACTATAACATTCTATTCCAGGCTAAAATCAATATAAAATTTAAACAAATCGAATTATAAATGTAATGTACCAGAAATATGACTATTTCCGACAATTCCTGCTCGTGTCTAGTGCATAAAATATGTGATATCATTCCAAAGAATCGCGGCCACAGTCATCAAAGCCTATTATAATACAACACACACACATAGCTGAATTATCGACCGACCAAATTGTACAAGTTCAAGGACCCAATAAAAATTACCCACGTGAACAGACCAAGAGACGTAACGAATACAACGATAATATTTATCATAGTGTATTTTTAGGATACTGCATGTTTATAAACAGATGATAGTGAAAATTTTCTAGCTTACGTACAACATTTACGTTCGAAAATGTTAAGACCTTATTTATTTGCAATAAGGTGGAGAGTAGAATGAAGTGGATAATAAATGATAGTCGTAAAGATATGAATTGCCTAAGCATGTAAGATTATTGGGAGTATAAAAGAAAAACGAGGACTAACATTTGCGACTATTATATGACTTGTTTTCGTTGAAATAATTATGTTTAATTATAAATATTAATAATTCGTAAGTACAATAAGTGATTGTATTATTTATAATAATATCTTGGAAATTCAAGTATGTTTATATTTCTTCACGGTATCAGTAGTTCCTATTTTTTTTGTGAGTGTAAGTTCACTTTATATGTGTGATTAATTATTTGGCATAGACATTTTTGGGAATTTTTTAAAAGTTTCTCTAAATATATTATAATGTATTAAATTAATAAGATGTATTTAATCTAATGATGTAATTAATGAATATAATGACATTTAATTAGCATATTGTTTGACTTCCTGTTGAAATTAAAAATGCACTCATTTTTTGTCTCTAAGCAATTATGCATATTATTATGGTATTGTATTATAATTTTTACATCACCGTGTGATAATTTTTTTTTTTTTTTTGTAGAAAATAGAACACACTTTTGGAAACGATAGACAAGTGAATGATCTATATTTTATATGATATTATCTGTATTTTATATGTAATTTTTTTACATTAGATTCTACCTGTCTCAATATGCGAAATTAATAATTTTATTTTTAGTGTTTCAAGTTTTTGACATTTGATTAAAAATGTAAATAAAAATACCACCAAAATGAGTTATTTCGAATTGCAATAATAACTATTATTTTCAGGTATTTAAATATTATATATAGGTAACTAACAAAAAAAAATATAAATTTAAATATTTCTTTTTTAAATAATAGATATGTAATAATATAAGAAGCTATTTTGATTATTTTATGTATGGAACTCCTGGCGTGTATGTTCAACTCGCACTTGACCGTTTTATTTTTATACAGATATTGGGATTCACATGTATGTACATGACTTTTTTCCGTAATACGTAAATGGTATTAATATTCTAAATTGTAATAGTTCATAGATTATAATTTTTTATTCAACAATTAATATTCTTAATGCGTG